GTGTTTGTCTTCAGGGTAACGTGTCCTGTGTATATCCTCAGGGTAACGTGTCCTGTGTATATCCTCAGGGTAACGTGTCCTGTGTATATCCTCAGGGTAACGTGTCCTGTGTTTTGTCCTCAGGGTAACATGTCCTGTGTTTGTCTTCAGGGTAACGTGTCCTGTGTTTGTCTTCAGGGTAACGTGTCCTGTATTTTGTCCTCAGGGTAATGTGTCCTGTGTTTGTCTTCAGGGTAACGTGTCCTGTGTTTTGTCCTCAGGGTAATGTGTCCTGTATTTTGTCCTCAGGGTAATGTGTCCTGTGTTTATCCTCAGGGTAACGTGTCCTGTGTTTTGTCCTCAGGGTAACGTGTCCTGTGTTTATCCTCAGGGTAACGTGTCCTGTGTTTTGTCCTCAGGGTAACGTGTCCTGTGTTTATCCTCAGGGTAACGTGTCCTGTGTTTTGTCCTCAGGGTAACGTGTCCTGTGTTTATCCTTAGCGTAACGTGTCCTGTGTTTGTGTTCAGGGTAACGTAGTCCTCTGGAAACCCAGCGACACAGCTCTGTCTTCCAGCTACCTGGTCTACAGAGTCCTGCGTGAGTCCGGTCTGCCTCCTAACATCATCCAGTTCCTGCCGGCTGATGGTCCAGTGTTCGGGGACACCGTCACCTCGTCCCCTCACCTGGCGGGGATCAACTTCACCGGCAGTGTGCCGTAAGGACGCCTCCCTCAGTGTCTGCTGGTGAAGACGTGTCCATTACCATGACAATGGTCTGTTGTCTCTGCAGGACCTTCAAGCGTCTGTGGAAGCAGGTGGCCCAGAACCTGGACATCTACAGGACCTTCCCTCGTCTGGGTGGAGGTGAGCCCCGCTTTAGTCCATCAGGTCCCTGTCTTCTGCAGAGTCCCTGAGCTAATGGACGCTTGTGTCCACAGAGTGTGGAGGGAAGAACTTCCACCTGGTCCACAGTTCTGCAGACATCCAGAGCGTGGTGATGGGGACCATCCGCTCTGCCTTCGAGTACGGAGGACAGAAGTGCTCAGCCTGCTCCAGGATGTACGTCCCTCACAGCACCTGGCCTCAGATCAGACAGCAGCTGCTGGACGTCCACAGAGACATCAAACTGGGAGACGTGAGTCCACAAGAACAGCAGAGCTCACAGTGAGGGGGGGATCATACCTTGGGAGGGGCTAATTGAGAGAGGAACTTGTTAGTGAGCAGGTCCTCAGACAGGTGAAGGTTACCTGTGTTGATGATGGTGATGATGTGTTCTCTGCAGCCTGTGGAGGACTTCAGCACCTTCTTCTCTGCGGTCATCGATGATAAGGTAAATGTGTTTGATCAGACTGAAGTTCTGCTGAGGATCTTGGTCTCTAACAAGTTCCTCTTCTAGTCCTTCGCTCGGATCAGGAAGTGGTTGGACCACGCCAAGTCCTCCCCGAACCTCAGCATCATCGCCGGAGGACGCTGTGACGATCAGAAAGGTTACTTTGTGGAGCCGACCATCATCGAGGCCAAGGACCCGCAGGATCCCATCATGAACGAGGTAAGACCTCTGCTCAGAAGAAGTCTGGATCTGCTCCAGGATCTGGATCATTGGGATCAGCTCACAGCACCTGTGTGGTGTTTTCCAGGAGATCTTTGGACCGGTTCTGACTGTTTATGTTTATCCTGAGGAGGACTACCAGGAGGTTCTGCATCTGATTGACACAACCTCTCCATATGCGCTGACAGGAGCCGTGTTTGCTCAAGACACGTAGGACACAGAACATGGTCCACTGAGCTGGGTTTGACCCGGACTAAGGTTCTGTTTGTGTTTGATTGACAGGAAGGTGATTGATGAGGCCTCCAGGGTTCTGAGAAACGCCGCAGGGAACTTCTACATCAACGATAAATCCACCGGTTCCGTCGTGGCCCAGCAGCCATTTGGAGGCGCCAGAGCTTCAGGTCCAGACCAACAGACAACATTCATGTTCAGTAATCAGACAGGAAACAGGAAGTGACGACCAATAATCAGAGACAGGAAACAGGAAGTGATGACCAATAATCAGAGACAGGAAACAGGAAGTGACGACCAATAATCAGAGACAGGAAACATGAAGTGACGACCAATAATCAGAGACAGGAAACAGGAAGTGATGACCAATAATCAGAGACAGGAAACAGGAAGTGAGGAGCAATAATCAGACAGGAAACAGGAAGTGATGAGCAATAATCAGACAGGAAACAGGAAGTGACGAGCAATAATCAGACAGGAAACAGGAAGTGACGAGCAATAATTAGACAGGAAACAGGAAGTGACGAGCAATAATCAGACAGGAAACAGGAAGTGACGAGCAATAATCAGACAGGAAACGGGAAGTGATGACCAATAAGACAGGAAACAGGAAGTGACGAGCAATAATCAGACAGGAAACAGGAAGTGATGATCAATAATCAGACAGGAAACAGGAAGTGATGACCAATAATCAGAGACAAGAAAAAGGAAGTGACGAGCAATAAGACAGGAAACAGGAAGTGACGAGCAATAATCAGACAGGAAACAGGAAGTGATGATCAATAATCAGACAGGAAACAGGAAGTGACGACCAATAATCAGACAGGAAACAGGAAGTGATGATCAATAATCAGACAGGAAACAGGAAGTGACGACCAATAA